AGCTCAAGGTGCTTACCAGAAAGGATAAATGCCCAACCGTGTAACAATGAATACGACACCAAAGAGCATGAAGAAAGCATCACATAGACGTTGGTACTTGGCATAATTGGCTAGCTTTGCAGCCTAAAAGAGACAAGAAACACAAGAATATTACTCCCTTTGTGCATTCATGTAATTACCAGGCTGTAGAGTTTCAAAAACCCTCAAGCCATCACATCTGTAAGGAGTTTGGAACATTTAGGGATTATTCTCAGCACTAAAGCAGTTATGAGGAAAAGCTGACACGGCAGGATCAGCAGCACAAGTTTTATGGCATATTCAATGTAGTTTATCAAGAATGGGAAAGTCAGCTTGCTCTCCTGAGACCACACTAGCATTAGGTATGCAAAGATTTGAAAGGCAACTCACCTCTAAAAGGAAATCTGATGCATCATGGAGGCACAGCACCAGAGTTCCAACCCGCACCATATTATTCACGTAAGAGAATGTAATGAGTCCAATTGTAGCCAAATGATGGACGAACATGATCAGGAAGTCCTGGAAACAGGAAAAAAAAAAAAAAAGGCTCTTTGGCTCTCAAACAAATACAAAGGTTTGGAACAGAGCCACAAAACTGACTAACTGGGGTCACAGGATTACTCCAGTTCAGACTCTGACTCCACCTTACATGATGAGCACAGCTCATCACACAACATTAACCATCATCGCTAAAGGTTCCAGAAAGGTCTCTCCCAGCATTTGTGCTCCTGTGAAGTCAGAACTCTGCATACACGGGCACAGCACAGTCTCTTTGGCACACACATGCAAGGTAAAGGTAAGTATGCCTCCAGACCCCACTGAAAAGATCGACAGGACAACACATGACCCTTATTTTTGGCTCCTTATGGTTTTAGTCGCATTGCTAGTCCTTTCAGCTCTTGGCACAAATTTTAAGTACATTGCTGTTACTGTTGTCAGTGTGCAAAAGCCTGCCACAGCATAGCAGGCGTAGAACACGAGATAACAGCAATAACTAGACCACTTCATTAAAAAATGTTTACAATGCACATACATTCAGGGCTGTTTTCCAGTTTAGTCCCCTGGGTACAACAACTCTTCCATGTCAATGTACCTTACCATGCTTGCAGGGGGGAATGTAATCCACTTTCTTAAAGTCAGAGTACAAAATTAAACATTATAAACAGTATCACAGATGCTGTTCATCACTCCCTTTCTGCAGCTCCAGGATACTCTGTAGTGCCTCACCTGCTAATATTTCAGTACAGAGAAAAATCCCAGGCAAACTTTTCTTTTTGAACAGTCAATGCAAGAATTGGGATAATTTGCTACTTTGCTGTTTGTATAACAGAAACAATAAACCATGATTTACTATGAACTGTTTTCCAACAGCAACAATAAGCCAAATCCTAGAACATAACACAGCGGAATTAGATTCCGGCAATTGCAACCAGTCATCATTCTGCTACACACACAGATGAAAAATTACTTTCAAAAAACCACTTATTATTGCTTTAGCGTTTGCCATTTTCTCACCCAGCTCAGCAAGGTACTGCTTTGAGCATCTCATTTTCATGTTTTCTTGCAAGCCTTCTAATTAAATCTATTTTTACACTATGGTTTCATAACTTTTTATTGGGAGGTATCGAGTGATTCTGTTCTTTCCCCTGGAAGGTGAAAGGGACTCTCAAGAATATACCAGGTTGCATATCAGGCTTGCTCCTCCCTTTTCCCCAGGACTGGGTAGTCATTGCAGAAGGAGGCAGGCTACACAAAGATGTGAATGAGGAAGAAAATACAGTTATTACTATGCTTTAGCTTTACTGGCCAGACACACTCATATTTTTTGTTAATCCTATCTATTCAGCAAAGTGGTTAGTGCAATTCTAGTTAATCTCACCTTCCGTTTAATGTCTGTAAACTGAGAAAACATGAGAGACCAATAGAAGGCCAGCTCCAAGATATAGTAATAATAAAGCCTGGATGTTAGAGGCTGGAAAACAAACAAAGATAGCACAGTTAGAAGACAAAGTACTTTAAAATTTACATTAAAATTGACTTTTTCCTTCCTTCCCATCCCACTCTGTTCCTCCAGAATGCTGAGGGATAAGTTAAAAGATCCAGAATTAAGGTTTAGTAAAAACAAGCTTAAGCAACAGACGTCTTACTCTAGGCTTAGTCACACAAACATACTTGTGTATTTGAGCTTTATTCAAAAGGAGTAAGATTCCCTTGTCACAACTCATACAGCAGCCTCTTGGATTAGGAAAACCAGGCACTGAAAGAGACTGGTCAGCCTCTATACAATCATACTTGCTGCATAATGAAAACAACACTGTAGATAAGTTACCAGCATAACTTTATTAAAAGTGAAAAAAAAAAATTAGGCATAATCTCAGCAGCAAGTGAAACATAAAATGAATATGAACCAAGTCAGTTCTACCTGAGGAAACACTGCTGTTGACAAACCTAACCAGGACCTGAAGACAGAAAGAGTAAGTGCCACCTTTGTGCCTTCCAAAAGGGATGGGATGGTCATTCACTCGCTAGAAAGCTTACCAGGTTGCAGCCTGTGCAGCATCCACCCCACAGAATAATGAGAAGCACTCAAGTCTGAGTTTCAATCTGCTATCATTAACAAAAAATAAAAACTGAAATTGTGCAAAAAGTGCGAATCTAGTAAGTGTTTATCTCCTACCTGAAAAGGGTAGTTGTACCAGCACTGTCGTGTGTCCCAAAACCAGGGTGCCTAAAGGGAAAAAGATAAGTTATTACTCTACTGGATTTTTTCTTCCCTATCATCTAAGGCAGTTGACCACTACAGTACTGTTTCGCTGAAATTGTATCTTGATTCTACCATTCAAGCTAAATTTATTGTAAGGCACCCTAGTGATTTAAAATATTCTTTCTGCAGTCAAAGACAAGTTATACTGCAATGGAAGTTCAAAGAATAATCACACAGCTCTAATAATAATAGAGGCCCAAAGAGATGAATCTGTGTCCCTTCAAGAGGGAGATGAGTTTAAAAAAAAAAAGTGGCTCTCCACAGAAGAAAAACAACCCACAAAGCAAAAATCACAGTTCTGTCCCATTCTGGGGTAACAGGACAAATAAGTTTCTAATATTTCCATAATGACAGACCTGTATAGAAGCTTTCCTATAGTCTAAAGAAGGTTCTTAAACAGGAACCCCAGGATCTCAAATAAGGGAACGGAAAGATGACTATCACGACTAACCCTCCCTTGTTTTAAGCTAGGTGCAAGCACTGAAGAAGTGACACAGGCAGTCAAACCCCCTGTTTTTCAGCAGGGCAGCCATAACCCAGCTGCACACCATACAGAACAACAAGGGGCGGAGGGATGACAGACCAACTCACCGTCCAGAGAAACCTGATTCCATAAAAAAATATACTTAAATAAAATGTAAATCTCCACCTGGAAAAAGAAGCAAAAATTAGACTTATGAAATAGAAGTAGCTTCTGGTTAACATTTGTAAAAAAACTAGAACAATTGTGAAAAAAACCAATTCTGACACCTGAAAAGCTTTCACCCACCACACGGTAATCCTTCATTTGTAAACATTTCATGTAAGGATAAACCTATTTAATAGTTTTCACACCACACACGAGTTTGCACCAACAGCCAAGTTTGAAATAAAGTTCAGAGTGAACATGCATCATTCATATGCTTTAATATACAACAACAAGATAAGTCATTGTTATCCAGAAGGTATCCTAATATATGTATTTGTCCCTCTTACCTTGTGGCTTTAAGTAGACAAAACCATACTGGGGGGAAGAATTAATATGAAGAAAGTTACTGGAAAGGAAAGAAACCAGCACAGAAGAAATAACAAGTCAGGAAAAAAATATTCAGATGCTACTACACTAACAGAGGTAACTGCAAGCATTCAGAAAGAAACAAAGAACAAAAGAATGAACTGAAATGAAAAGAACAGGAATCCAAGAAGCATCTGTATAAAAGTATATGCATCATTGTGTAAGCCATAAGGTCATTCTGTCTGGGAACAAATGCTGGTCTACAACATTACTGTGCAGACAGCAGACTTGTCTTCAGCGTAATTACTCAGGTTGTGCGCATGCGTATATGCACACCGAAGCACTATGTGTGCGTTAAGGACCTGGCCCACTATCTAAAGCTGCTCACCGTTCACAGGAATAACTCCTGTACATGTGTTCTAGTCTCTCATGCACATATACAAAATATTTTAGAATACTGAATTCTAAAAAGCCCTCCTAACTTCCTTCATTCACTTATGTAAGAATTTAATGTTCCACCAGCCAACCCCAAGACACTTGTTTAAATTAGCAGCTGACCACAGTTTCAGTTAGAAAAGAGAACATACAGCTGGAGCTTTAAGATGAAGCCACATCTTGGCCTCCGCACAAACATACATGCTCTCACAAAATTTAGTGAGGGTGGTGGGTTTGTCCTGGTTCCTCCGATGACGAAACCAGCGCTGGATCTTTCGAACATCCCAGTCTAGCTGCTTTGACAAGCCTTCTAACCTCTTTCCATCTGGAGACTGAAGGAAAATGAAACAAGTGTCATTTCTCCTACTTCTCAACCTACTTTCAGTCTGAGATCCCCTCTGTACTATGATAGAAATGATGCACACAGAACAAAAACCCCGTGCTAGGAAAGCACTACATACAGACTAGAAGCAGGAACCCATTGCCACAAATGTTCATTCAAGTTTAACCTTCATAAGCCGCTAATTACTTAATTATTCATAATGCTTTTGGTTTAACATTTCCTCATCTATTTCGTCATTTGACTGCACATTATGACAAAGAATGCGATTGTTCCATTTCTTAATTTGGGGGGAGGAGCTTTTAAAACATCCTGTCCTACCTGTTAGAAACTGCACATCAATTCAAACAGTCCAGAACTCACGAAGATCAAAGCTGAATATATTTAAGGGTTGCTACTCACTGTAAGTTTAGAGAAACTTTAAAGTAAGAATTGGTTTAACACACTAGATATTTGTATATTCCAAAGGGGCATCACAGAGGTGGCGTTATTTCTGTTACCAAAGTTTATAAATAAAATTAAATTTGAAAACTGAAATAACTGTATGATAAAGAATATATCACTGTTCCCTGACCGGAAAGTCTACTGGCCGTTCATTTGTTTAAATAATGACATAAATGGATTTATAAGAGACAAAGTGAACAAAACCCGATAACTACCTCTAAAATGGCCCAGTGGTTGAGATAAGCCACATTAGTTTCATACCAGTGTCCTTTTAACAAGCTCTGCCAGGGAGCTCTTACAACTGAAAGATGATAAACACATTTTACTGCTTGAGTTACATACAAACCCAAAAAACTATGCAGGATGTTGATTTAATAAAGAGTCACCAGACTGTTCAACTGAAAAGCAAAATCATCTGTCATTTGACTTGCAGTATTGAGACCGCGACTTTCCTGTAAATCCATCACAACCAGATCTCTCTGCACTGTTCTAGGTTTTAATGGGTCAGGCTACCTGACACTTCTGCATTGGAAGTGAACCTGCCTCAAAGGAAAGTTTAGAGAGCTCCTATTTCAGAACAGCAATGAAATTTTTCCCCTGCATCAGTGCCACCCAACATTCTGATTCTCCAAATCCAACAGCAGACGTAAGCATACCGGTACAGTTAAACACAGCTCTGTTTCCATAAGATAGATACATTTTGCACAGCATGCATCCTCATGGGTTTCCTAAACATTAATTTCAAGGACATCCCCTACATAAAAGTCCTCCCCAAAACCAGCATCAAATCATAGGGACTTTTCAGTTCACACATCATTCCAAATACCTCAAAACCTTCATGTTCCCATGAGGCGAGTTTTAGTAGGGTTTTTTACAGAATTCCCCTTCCATTCACTGAGCACTTTATCTGCTCCACTCCAAATGAAGTTCAGCATCACCAAATCAGAACATAAAACCTTCCACTTCATTATCTTTAATGAAAATCTATCATGCTGTCTGTGTGGATTTCACTGTCAACATTCAATAGAGTACAGACAGTGAGCGCGGAATTCTGTAATTCTGAAGTGAAGGAGCACTGTCAGCTTCAGTGAAAGAAAAGCCACGGAACAATCAAAAGAAACACCTACTGTCAACACTAAATGTCCTACCCTTTATCAGGGCACGCTTCCATTGACTGAGCGCTTTCCTTAAATAACTGACTTCCACTGTGACGGCTGTTGTCCAATTCCACATGAGATGGCAAAAGTAAGAGGAAGGCATTCACACAACTGGCCAATAAAACCAGCTAAGGAACAGATCTCAAGGAAAAGAGTAGCACTTTTCCAATAGAAAGTGAAAGATACTGGGAAATTTCTTATTAAACCAATTTCTTATTACCACCTGTTACAGGAGTTACAATTTGGACAAAGGCGGGGAATTAAAGGAAGAAGCCTCGTATCTTCCTAAAAAGAGAACATTTTTATTCAAAAAAAGATTCTTCTGTGCACAAAAGCATAGGTCAGCCATAAAGAGAATTTACTTTAAGGACATGCCACAGGCAAAGTAAAATAAGAAAGAGCACACTCATTGTGCATGCATAGTGTGAAATGCATTTCTCAAACTAGAAAAGTAGAAGCAAAAAGCTGCCCCCCCCTGCTACTCATAGGCTTCCATTTCCAGCAGAACTTGAAGCAGGACTCACCTTAGTGATAGATGTAAACACTTTCTCTAAAATTGCATTGGGCTGGGCTCTGTGAGGTCCACTGTCTTGAATGCCAAGGTTTATGGCACATGGTTTGGCAATAAACCTGAAAGAGTTAGGAAGAGCTAGATTAAAACAAGGTATCCATTTCCCTCCTCTGCCGAAATTACAAGGACCCGGACTTGTCACCAACTGCAAAACCTATCCAAAAAACTTTAGAAGATCTCCACTCACTTTGCTTAAAAAATAACTTCACAGGTGAAGTAATATCAAATGGTAATTGCAGACAGCACATACAGTACACACATCTAAAATGAAAAATTTAATCTTAATGTCCTTGGCTTGTAAGGATCAGAATGTGTTCCCCCAGGGTGATTCTCATTACTGAGAAATAACATAATAGATCACTGATAGGAGTCCTCTGCAAACATGAATGCTAGAGCCCTTGTAGCCCTATAAACAAAATGCCTTACTTCCAGAACATGCCTTGGCATCACATACCTCAGAAAAAAGGGAAGTTCAAGTGACACAGTTCCTAAAAGACACACAGTTTTTTTGGGTTGGTTTTTTTTTTTGGGGGGGGGGGGGGGGGGGGGGTTTTTTTTTTTTTTTGGGGAACTGTAAGATAAAGAAAACCCACAAATACTTAAAGTGGTTTGTTTCCTTCGGGAGAGTGAGGAAGATGTAAGAAGTCACTCAGTCTGAAAGACCCAAGATCTTGGTATCTCACTCAGTCCTGTATGCATCACATATTCCAAAAGCCGATCGAACACTTTGTGAATTTTATAGCACAGACACTCCAAAAATGAGCCTGGTTTTGCAACTCAAATGCATACATACATGTTCAAAAATTGTTTGGTTTTGCTGTACCTTTGTGTCAAAATAGGCACAGGATTTTAAGGAAAATGCATGTGTCACCTGAACATGTGAATCGTTTTCTCTCCTGTTGGTGGGCAAGAGAGGGGGGGTTTCAAGGAGCAATTTTTATTGGGTTTTTTTAATCAATTATTTTGAAAGAAAGCAAAGAACCTGTTTCTCAAAACTGAAAAGGACCCAACATTTGCATCATAAAATCTATTTTGCTTTGAAACAGAGATCATTTCAGAGACAACTGAATTGAAGACAACAAATTACACATGTATTCATTTAGCAGACTCAGAGTGCCATCAAGCAGAAAATGCTTTTTCCAACCATTACATTTGTTACCATTTCTCTCCAAGGAGAGGTTAAAATTCAGGACAGTCATCACTATAAGTGTTCCAACAGCAATCATTCTTGGGGGTGCACTGGTAGTACTTCAGTAACAAATAGCTATGACTGCGTTTAAGAACAGACACAGGTTGTGGGGTTTTCCCCTTAAGAAATTAGAGATCAGCTCATGACTAATCCTAAAGGAACTCCCCTGCTCTCAGAAAATACTAAACAAGTAATAGACACCGTGGCCACAGGTTTCACTGTCCTGCCCCATTTCTTCATACATCCTGTTCATTTCACCAGCCATAGCTTTTTTTAAAAAAAAAAAAAAAAAAAGGAAAGGGTGATTTCCTTTTAGCTTGGCTCAAAAGGCTCACTGCTTCCTCTGTAATCTAGACCACCAGCCAGAAATCATGTTCTGATGTTATGAAACGTTTTGCTAGACCCCCATTAAAGTCTACATCTTTATACTCTTCTTTCCTACAGGATATACCACAACAGCAGCAAAGAAGTACACCTGTGCAAATACAGGTTGCCAAGTATTTTTATTTCATTTTCTGGAACATAGGGCTTACAGCTTTATAAAAAAAAAAAAAAAATCCTGATCTGAAGACACTCAGTTTGGGTCAGTTTCCTCATGTAAGAGAAGAAAACTGAAAAACCGAAAAATCTACACATTCAATTAATTTATTATTCAGGAGAGTCTTCTTTTGTTTTAAGAACAAGTGAAGAAGAGAAGGAGCAGTTAAGAAATCTCATAGTGATCCATACAAAGTTTTGGCATTATTCTGGAATTCAAAACCTGAAGCATCAAGGAAAGAAGAAACAGGATCTCCTCAGAAAAAAAAAGATGCAGAAATAATTCACTTTGGGACCTAAAGATTGCAAGGGTGGGGGGGAACCAAACCTCAAAACTTTTCATGAAACTATTCCTGAGTAGCAGGCTTCCTTCACTAGCAGGCTTAGGGGAAAAGAAATACAGATGTTTCCAGAAACTGGGGTGGAGGCGGGAATCAAGAGTAAGCCACAGGCTACAGATACAGCACAGGACTCAAGTTACTGAGTCAAGCATGCAGGTGACCAAAGAGCAAACAAAAAAAAAAAAACCACCCGCAAACATTTCCAGGTGCACAGAAGCAGACAGACATCAACACAAGCAGACAGACAAGTCACAAAAAATGGAGGCAATGGAGGTAGTCCCAGTCACAGAAAGAGGAAGAAAAAAGGATGGCAGCAATGGATTTCATTAATTTTAAGGAAGTCTAACCCAAGACCATAATGTAGCTTCTCTAACTCCACAAGTAACGGCTTCGTGCAATGGAACTGCAGATGACAAATGTCCTTCTGGCCATGCAAGGTGTCTTCACTTGGGCTGGGCATGGCTGGCTCACGCTCCTGAGGCCACTGAACAGCCACGGTCCAATTGCCTTCAGCAGTTACTACCTTGCAGGTGGAATATGAAGTGAATGATCAATCCTGTGGTCAGTCAAAAATATCCAGGTGACATGCTATTTCCTTTAGGTGCCCATTAAGGAAAACTCATACTTAAAGCCTCTGTGGCATTTTATATTTTTGGCCGCAGAATAGGTTTTCAGATGTGCAAGTTTTGCACTGTATCCCACAGAGTAAAAATTCTGCCTAGCAACAGCACTTAAGCACCAAAAAACCCAGGCTGCCCAGATTTCCATTCTTGGGGATCTCCAAAACTGAACAGCACAAGACCATGAGCAACCTGACTTGACTAAAACATTGGCCTTGCTTGGAGAGGATTGGACAAGGTGACCTCCATAAGTCCCTTCTAATCTAAATTATTTTATGATTCCACAGAAATCTTAGCTGCAGCAACTATTCCCAAGGTCAGCTTACTGCCACACCTCAGCAAGGAATTATCATCACTTAAATACTTCTATTACACTTTTCTGAACAGGTATCTATCTGGTCATTGGCTTAAGTCATATCTACCAAGCTACCCTTTTCACGCTAGTTATTAAGATAGACTGATTTTGAAACCAACACCAATTTGCAAGTACACAGACTCATATGTTAGAACAAATATTTCTCAGGCACGTTGTACTTCACAAACCCAAAGGCAGAATCCTTCTTTATGGAACATTCAAGTTTGTATGGTGACTCCTTATTATAGCTCTGAAAAGGAAGAATAACCTGAGAAATAGTAAGATTTATAAAGTATGCACTCAAAGTAAGAGTTCATCTTTCCATAATCGCTCAGTTTCACTGTGTTAAGATTAAGCCACCTCATTCCACAACTATCCCTAATTTTCCAGACAGACCTGATGAAATAACATCTAAAAATCCCTTTTTTCTCCCCCCCAGCTTGAGCACAAGCTGCAGATCCTTCCTCAGACCTGTAGAGTAACAAGCATATCTGAAGGGCATTCCAGTGTAGTTATAAACACATCATATGAATAACAGGCTCCAGGTTTTCGCAGACACCTGGGAATTTTTTTTGTGCCTGCAGTGGGACAAGATGTGTAGGGAGAAATAACAGCAAGTATAACCAAGAAAAAAAGCAATGAAAACAAACTTGTGGGTAGAAGTCCTCCTTTATCTTGCCTGCACAAAAATCCACCCCCCTACCAGAGTCAGGACTTTACCTTCCTCTGCAAGTCTTGTCTCATCTCTACAGTCATACACTTCCCACAATCAGCCTAATGAGTATTTTACCAACATGATGATGCAAAGGTTAATTTATAGGGGCATTCACTAACAGAAATATGTGTCAGCATTACAAGTGTCAGTGTCACAAAAGCACTTCCTCACACTGAAGATCTAAAGCAAAAGGAGAGAGAAAAGAAAAAAAATGAAGAGAAGCTAAAACAAAAGAGCTGCACAAGTATATAATTCAAGTTCTGAGTCACCAAGTCCGATTGCCAATTGTGTGGCAAGGAAGACATTCAACACAATCAGCCCCAAAGCCTGAATCAGGGTATATGCACAACCAGATTTCATTAAGACAAATCTGAACTTTTATGACCTGTTCAAAGTGGCAGGAGGAAAGAGAAAAGCATTTCCTAAAAAACACAGTCTTTTAAAATAAACATAGTAGAAACTGCCCTGGACATTGCTGTCACAATCTGCTTTCACTTCAGGATACCACCACTGAGCCCCGATAGCAAAGATAGCTGAAAAAAAAAAAAAAAAAAAAGAAGGAACCACCCTCTCAGGAACCAGGCTACGGTTTCCAGGTTTTACTGTGTAGGTGGAGGACTTAATTTGACTCCTCCCTAAATTAACACTGCAAAAGAAATTTCACAAACCAGGTAGACATTATCAGGATAAAGTAATTGCTACCAGGAGGACTGTGTTGCTAGGTGTGGTAGGATTCACTGTATCACTCCTAACATTTCACACCCCAGAGAAACGCGAATCTTTTGTACTTCTGCCCCAGACTAAGACACCTGGACTAAACAGGGCTTGGAGAGTGAGGAAACCTTCCTACAATATCCCAATTCAGGGCTATCACGCTGTCTTACAACTTCCTTTCCTCATCTGTTAGCACGCGTGAACATCTGGCCGAGACTAGCAGCAGCACGCCAAGCTGAGATAAGATTTTGGCACTGCCACATGTGTTCCTGGGTCCTCTGCACTGGTTTCTTTTTTTTTTTTTTTTTTGGAGGGCAGAAGGGTAAGATGGAGAAACAAAGAGCCTCTCAAATTTCTCTCTTACTCTGCTGATCCGCTTCATTTTTCTCCACAGTCTGCCTATCTTTTTACTTCACCCCAGTCCTCTCTTCTTGTTTAATTTCTGAAAGCTCAAGAAAACTCACACTTCTTGCAGAAAACCCACAAAACAAACCCAACTTGATTCCTACTCACTTTAGTTCTACAGCCCCTTTCATGCTTAGAAACACTTCTGCCCTTTCAATGTAGAAATTTAAGGTTAAATCAATCTTTAATGAACTACTTGAACAGAAATACCTGGTGCTTGGTCTGCTTCACCTA